TACTAAGCGATATTTTTGTATGATCTTATCAAGATCTTTGGTACAGATTTATCTGATACAACCAAGATATATACATACAAATTATCTTGTCAAGATCTTGATAAGATCTTGCTTATCGATCTCAAGATTTCAAGATCTTGCTTACAAGATGTTCGACGAGGGTTAGTATCTCCGTAAGATTGGCTAGAAAATTTGCTATTTGATTCAGCGAAGTTGCTGTTATTTAGTTTGTACTTACTCGAAGTATTCGTGGTTGCAGATTTGGTAAAAAATGTCCCGTCACGCAGTCAACCGTTTTTTTTTCGGAATGAAAACTTGAATGAAGCCCTACTCAATTATAGCCAGAAGGTAGACCAAAGAAAAGAAAAGAATATGTGATATGAAAGAAATCTATAATATTTATTAGATCAAAAATAAAAAATTTCAAATCTGAAAATGTGCCTTCCTCGCTAAATGTCCCGTCACCCTTTTTTTTGTTTTTTATGTATCTCGAGTTCTACTATATCATAATCAGAATAATTTTCAGCAAAAGTAAACCGCTAAATATACAACGGATACTCCAAATTTCAACTCTTAACTCTTTATCGCTTCAGAGAAAATTGCAAAATACTGATCAAATGTCCCATCACGCTTTTGTCCCGTCACGTTTTTTTTGACAATAAAACCAATGTTTTTTCACCAAAACAGAAAAAAACCTAGATGTATCTTATATGACCCGAAAGCTCTTTGAAAGGCTCATATAACTAGACGTGCAAAATCCTTGGCAAGTGACGAAGACGAGTTTACTCATGTTAAAATAAGTTCTCTTACGTTCTTTATGCGTGGATCGAAGAAAAACCATATTTCTTAAGAAGAAAATGACGGAACCTTTCGGAGAAAACAAAGTGCCAAATAAAAATCATGTCATTTTTGAGAGAGCAGCCCTCGAACCATCTTCCTCTGCATTTATCTCAATTTTCATACTTTTCACCAAAAATCAACTTTTCCGAGGGGCTTAGGTTTTTTTTTAATTTTTCGAAATTTCGGCTATACTTGATAGTGGTAGTGAGACAACTGCCGGTTTCCATTATTTCTTTAGTAGTACTATCTAACCCAATACGCAAAATCATTCCAATGAAAAATGAAATCTTGAAAAAAAATTGAAGCCAAATTGTACAAATGGCTTGCAATCGTCTCATATACTAAGGAAAAGAAGAAACACTCTAAAAAATCAAGACGTAAGAAAAGTATATACAAGACGGTCCATCTGTTTATACAAGACACTTTGAGTTGATTCTGATTGGTTAAGATTTATCTAATTTAGACACTTCAAGTGTCAACGGATAACCAATTTTAGACACTCGAGCGTCTTACTCTCTTTTGTTTGGATGGTCTGCACCAATCAGAAAAGTGTCTTACATTCATCTTTCTTAGACACTTTAGTTGATCTGAGACCTATAGGTTCTAAAAATAAGTAAGTTAAGGAGTAAAGGGAACCCTTCGTTGAGCAATTTTTTAGAAGATCAATCCAAATTTAAGTTTTTATCATAATACTACATTCTCATGTGAAAATTAATCTAAAAACAAAAAAGAAATTACTCTGTTAATTTACAGAGTTATTTCTTTTTTTTTTCAGAGTTATTTAAACATGAAAATGTATCATTTGAATTAAAATTAAATTAAGACTTGTGTTCTAAAAATTTACCCAGCGAAAGATTCTCTTTAGTCCTTAACCTGCTTGTTTCTAGAACCTATAGATCTCAGATCAACTGAAGTGACTAGGAAAAACTATTATAAAAACCACAGGAGTACTGAAAATCTATCTCATAAAAATACTCGTGCTCAAAAAAACTGCATGCTCGACGCATAATGAATATAGTTTGAAGACAGTTATTTTAGTTTCAAAAATTTGTTTGGGAAAAATTAGAGTTCAGTTCTAAATTGTTGGTTGTTCAAATGTCGATATTATTAATATCATCTACAAAGAAGAAATTGGATTTATTAAATCAACATAAGACAAAATCATAAATAAATATATCATATTTCATAAATTAGAATGTTCAAAACTAACTTTAAACAAAAAAAAGAATAAAGATGTATGAGAAGACATACAATATGAATTTCAGCAATTCTAGAAAAAAAAGTACCAGTAAAAGATACAAAAACATATATTTATTAAGTAATAAGTGTTATTACCTTCTGCTCATGCTTTTTTTCGTTACATTGTTCAAATAACATTTTAAGTAACGTATGAACAGGTGTATCATTTAAGTTGATGTATATGATGAGGAGTAGTGAAAATATTTTGCGTAAGCCACCAGCAGCAATTGAAACAGGCATTTTAAACGGTAAGTTTCTGATGAATATAAATGCTTTTTCATATTGATTTATCGATGACGAACTAATTATAACCCCAATCATTGGATGTGAATTAGGTAAGCCATTCTAAGTAAATAGAAAAACAGAAGACATGGTAAATTAAAAAACGATTTTACCTTAAAAAACAAATTGTGTTCCTGTGCTGCTTCACAGAAAAGTTTAACAGATGAAAAATCGGCCTCACTAGTCTACAACAGAAACAAAAAAACACAATAGGATCAATGTACATAAAATAATTACCTTCTCTTGTGTTTCGATCCTATATTTTCTAATAAGACCATCAAATAAATCACGTGATTTATATTGTACTTCATCCCAGGTAAGTATTTGATTTTGTAACAGCATGAATTCCATGGTGAGCTAGACAAAAATAAATACAAGTATTTTTAATAAATAAATTCGCTAATCATTTCGAATACTAAAAAGTATTGAACAGGATAAATGAGAAAAAAAGAAAATAAGTGAAAATAAGAAAAAAATTCTTACTGCTTCTTCGTGAAACATTTCTTGATATTGAAAACCTTTCATATAAAAATCACTTTTTTCTTTTCCCAGTAGTCGGCGCCTAATTCGATGAGTATTTTGTATCAGTGCATGTACTTTGCCGATTGAAATATTGTTTGAGGATTTGTTCTTAGGTTTTATAATTGAACGAAGACGAGTAACATCTGTATTATATGCATTTTGTTCTGAATTAGATAACTTCGGAAACAATATTTCTGGATCATTTCTTGTACTATATGATTCTTCAATATTATGAATGGCAGATTCTATAACAGAAACAAAATCATTATGTAAAAAAATAATAAAACTTACGTTTAAAAATATTATCTGGCTTTTTTGTGTTGATTACTTCGATATCTTGACAATTATTATTTTCTTTTTTTTCTGAAAAGCAAACGATCGAAAAATTTCAAAACTTAGATAAGCATACCTTTTTTCTCCTCACAACCTCGTGGTATAATAGCTTTATGAACAGAAACTATCGATTGTGATGGCACTAAAATATAACGATAAATAATGAATGCAACATAAATTTTTCTGTGATACAAGAATGATATTCCAAGTGTTAAATTAAACACAGGTCAAAGAGTATGAACTGGTATCAGCAGAAGAATACTGAAAATCAAAAAAAGTGTGAAGCCATATTGCGAAACAGAAAGTCACCTTTTTCCAGATGATTGACGGTCTTTTCGTGTTCGAAAGAAATGAAATTGGCCAAAAGTTACTTTGAGCAATCCTAGGACTTTCTGATCTGGAACACTTCTTCCAACTTCCGTCAGTTTGTGGTATTTTCCCGTTGCAGCGAGATCGTACTTCTTTACCTGTGGGGTCAGATATTGATGTTCAAAATATACTCTGAAAAAAGTTAAGGTCTGCGAACCTTTGAAGCTTCCAAAGAGTTTTGTGATTTTTGATACCTGAACCCAAGATAAAGTTCTGGGCAAAGACAATAGATTCTGACATTCTAATCGAAACTTTTTTCTCCAGAATCTTTGCTCAGGGATTAGGTTATCAAGTAACAGAGTGAATGTTTTAGTGACGTAAATAGTTCTACAGAACTTCTTTCCTTTTTTTCAGAGTAGAAAAAGAATTCCATAAAAAGAACGAAAAAGTTGAACTAGGGTGTTGTTGTGAATGTAATTTTATGACTATTGATTCATGTCATGATCTGCGCGGACTATACATGAATGATTTGCCCAGAACAGAAAAGAAAAGTAAGTACATAATACCTCGCTGAAGCAGTCGATGACTAATCTTCTTTCATTCGCAGTCAAATACACTGTCTACACTTTTTTCTTTAAAGTTAAACAACTTACGTGAAGTTATGTGCATACGTCCATTGTGGTAAATAATATTAGTTGGTGTATTTGTTGTGATAATTGGTTTTACTATCACCGGTGTAGTTGAAATAGATGAAGGATTAATAATTGATACAGTTGATTGAGTTAATGAAGTCGATGGAGTTACTAATGATATTGTTGCTTGTCGATCATTTTTTGAGAGTATTTGTGGTCTGATGGGTGTGTTTGGTGATGGAGTTATTACATTATGTATTTCTAAATGAAAATAAGTAACGCCGAAATTGAGACTAATACAACATGCTTTAATTCGATTTCAAATAGTTACCAAATGGATCAAGTAGTGAATCTAATGTTTCATTTTTAAACGATTCATTTATTAATTCTTCAATTGAACATTCATTGGAAAAATCTATAAATATAAAGGATAATTTTATATTCTTTAAGACTATTGTTTACAGCTTACTATTTTTGTCCCAATCAATCTTCAGACTATGTGCATCATTAATTGGTGTCTCTTCAGCGACATCGTTTGTCTTTGTTTTGTTATCCGAACTTGAATCAAGTGTTAATGTTCGTGAACATTTTGGTGTTGGATGACTTTTTGAATACTTAAGGTTTCGTTTTTTTCGAGAAAGCAGACGAGATATTGTATGCTGTCAATTGTAAAAAAAAGTTATTGCATCAAAATTATTTTTTTGATTCCAAAAAATTGTTGAGTAAACTTACATATGGTGCTTTTCCATTAACTCCATCGACACTCTTGTCCAAAAAGTTTAATGCTGGAAATTTTTGTGTGAGAGCCATAATAAAGGAATGATGAACTTTCCGTGAAGTAGAATCAGGATATTGTTGAAGAAAATAAGTGCATGTTTGTCGTAAAAACTCTTGCTGTATGGCTGGAAAAGATTCTACAAGTAACAGGTAAAGCATAAATGTTAATTAAGACTCAATTTACCGCGTGATTGTAAACCTTGAATTATTAAATCACAATATGTTGGTATTGATGGTGGTTCAATATTTTCACACTAAAACAGAAACAAAACAAAGTATTTGATATAATTGTTAAAATGCAGTACATCACATAGAAGTAATGATTGTTACCGAGATCTTTTTGAAGATGAGCTTTTAATTAAATTTTTATTTGGTGTTTTATTATCATTGTCATTGGTTGTTGATAATGAAGATGGATCAAATACGAATGAATCTGAAATGCTTGACATATCGAAGTTCATTTTCAATCCATTTGGTTGATCGATAATTTGTTCATATGACGTGAATTCAAAATAATCATTGAGTTCAGGATCATAAAACTGTATTCGACGATCATTTTGATTTGGAAATAATAACCTAATTTTTTCGACTATTGAAACATAATCATTACCGAGTATAGTAGTCTTGCGACCTTGATGTTCAAATACAATTTTCATCTACAAAAAAGAACAGTAATTTCATATTTAGATTATCGATGCATTGTTCTATTTGTCAAATCAGTTTTAACAGAATCTCGGCATATGTCAGACATCACCAAGATCTGCACAGTCACAGTAAAAATGTACGCCTTATCTGTTCATGCGGTGGTTCATTTAGTACTCTTCGAAGTCTGCAAACTCAGTGAGATTTTTTTATTTTCTTTCTCAATTTTCTTTCTGAAAATATATCTTTCCTCACTTCTAGTTGGAGTCGGTTTCATAATGAAAAAAATGAAGTTCCTGATCAGAATAAGCAACATAATGAAATTGAAAAAAATGATAAAGATGAGTTATCAAGCTCAACTTGTCCAGATAAATGTTCAAATGTGGAATCTTGGATGGAAAGCAACGAACAAGATGATGAAAATCTTGAAAATCAATCACTTAATAGTAGCAAAGATATGGAGAGCTTGAGCGAAGATGAACAACTCAAAGCATTCGAAAAGCGTGTATTGTATCTGTTACTTACTCTTCAAACGGCTTTCTATACATCTGAGGCAGCTATCGAATATGTTGCTACAAGTCTTATGGAACTTTTTCAGGCTATTTCAACGAAAAATCTGGTTTGAAATTTTTACGTAATTGAGCTAATATATCTCATATTTTCATAATTATAGAATGCTACTGCTCTAGCTACGTGTATAGATCGGCTTAAATCAAAACACATTCGAAAAAAAAAGGCCATGGAATATTTTCAATACATTGAACCTATCAGTCGATCGTATCAGGTATAACTTAAATCTATATTGACAAGAAAAGTTTCCTTAAAAAAATAGTGTTTTTTTAATGATGAAAGAAAACTAAACCCAATAATAATTCATGTGTTTTTCCGTTTTACTTACAGGCGATTATGAAAAACAAAGAAATCAAAACAGTCAAGTACTCATATGTGCCTGTTTTACGTAGTCTTGAAAAATATTTGCGTTTACTGGAAGTTCAAGCTGATCTACAACGTGCAACATCTGACTATGATCCTAATTGTATCGAAGATGTTCATGATGGTCTTTTTGCCAGAAATCATCAGAATTTTAAAAATTCAAGTTATATCAAAATTGAATTAAATTCAGACGATTTAACTATAACTAATCCTATATCTCATCGTGCTCATTCTATTTTCTTCTTCTACTGGTCCTTGCTCAATGTTTCTAGAGAGAAACGTTCAAAACAATCAGCAAAACGACTTGTTGCAGCTTGTCCAAAATGGGCACGAAAGTATAACTCTTTATGTCATACTGTTGATGATTTTTTAATGGGAATTAATACACTTTCCACTACTGATAGTATAATCGTTAGTTGCTTACATAGCCTATCTTTCCCCAAAATCACTTTTAGGTATCACCATCAATATAAACGGAAATGAGGTGACTTATTTCGGTGGTTTATTTGTCTCACTTGGTGATTATCCAGCTCAAATGTCTTTGAATGGATTTAAAGAAAGTGTAGCGGCTACTCATTTTTGTCACCTCTGTGACATACAACACGATCATCTTGAAGCAGATATATATTATGATTTTCCAACTATTACTTTAAGTGAATACAGAGAGCGGTCAGTTAGAAAACTTTTTCTTACCTTCCAATTTTCCTTTATTTTTGTACTAGTTGTACCAACTTCGAGCTTGTTCAAAATTGTTCGAAGTCGTACGAAAATCTATCTAAACGATATGGAATAAATAACAGAAGTTTGTGTGATGCATCATATGATGTCACACGTCAATGTCCATATGATATTATGCATACTTTACTAGAGGTAAAATTGAATTTAGAAAGCGTTAGTACTTAAAAAGATTGTCTTTCACTGAAAAAAAGATGACCGATTTATCTTTCCAATCGAGTAGTACCCTTGCATATGAAACAATAGACTATTGGAGGGTATATTTTTAGACTTTTTACTTTCGTTGAATTCATGTGACATAACTTGAATGTTTTCGAGAAAAAAGCGTTATCATTCAACGTATTTAAGACTCAATTTCTATACATCAATTGTAGGGTGTGCTTCCAAACCATCTCAATGCATTTCTGGAGTTTTGCACAGGGCATAGTTATTTCAAATTGGACCAATTTTGCTCTGAAGTTAACATGTTTCCCTATGATGGAGATGAATTAAATGCAAAGCCACATCTTGACCTAGCACCTGATGAATTAAAAAAGCAAAACAATTTGGGAATGCCTCTAACATCAATGCAAACTTTCTATCTATTTATAAATTTACCTTTTATTCTCAAAAAATGACTCCATTCATCGAATTTTCCACAGTATCGCGTAATTTTGATATGTGTGGATATTCTTTCATTATGTTTTGCAACAACTATTACTGCCGATACTCATGAACAATTGTCTTCGTTCATAAAAGTGCATAATGATCTATTTAGAAAACTATATCCGGGAAAAATGAAATTCAAATTCCATTTTATGTCTCATTTTCCTACTTTGATGAAAGAATTAGGTCCTCTGGCTTATACCTCATGCTTGGCCACAGAGAGAAAACATCAATTTTTCAAAGGAAATAAAGTTCGAAATTTGAAACATCCATCATTACTGTTGATGAGACGGCATGAACTATGAGTGTGTGTTAATGATCACTGTAAAAATGGATCTCTCTCATGCACGGTTCTTTCTGGTGTACCATATAGTCGACTTGATGATCGGCAGCCCATTAATGATGGACAAATCCAATTTCTCCTCTCAAACATGCACAAGTTACCTTTCAAACCTCTCTCTACATTAAAAACATTCATTATTGGTGGGCAGAAATACTCGCATAATACACTTTTGAATGTTTCAAAAGAGTATTTTCCATTGCTACTAATGGTTGGCAAAATACGTTGGATTCTCTACGATGGAAAAAGATGTGCTTTTATTTGTAAAATGTTCAAAGTCAAAGGCTATGTACAACAGCTAAGAGCATTTGAAGTGGAAGAAATGAATAAACTTGATTGTTTTCTTCTCGAAGACATGTGTTATAAAAAGACATTGAAGTTAATATCACTGAATGGATTTTTATATGTTCTTTTGCATCTTTATGGTCAATCCTTTACTATTTTATAATTCGTGTATCACTTTTCTATCTTATTTTTTCACTAATAAAAAAATCTGTCTTTCAATTGAAGATAAATAATTAAAATTTAATATCATTTAAAAAGGAGTTCAAGTCAAGAAGAAGAGAAATAGCCCCGTTTGAATATAAAACGAACTTACTTTAAATCAATAAGTACAGTCCAACGAATGATACATAAATAAATTTATCTCGTTGACAAAGAGTAAAATATATGATGTTGAACGAAAAAGAAATATCTAAAAGAAACAATAAGCTTTTAAACAAAGTTTGAATTGTTGGTCATCGTGACTTACCAATAATAACAAAATAATCTGTTTCTCAAAATGAAGCTAAATAAATAAATAAATAATCATAGTCATACAATTTGGAGAAGTTGAAGGCCAAAAGGAAGAGAAACAACCCAAGTCAAATATCAAATTTGACTACTTAAAAAAAAATAAATAAGTACAGTCCAACGAATGATACATAAATAAATTTATCTTGTTGACAAAGAGTAAAATATATGATGTTGAACGAAAAAGAAATATCTAAAAGAAACAATAAGCTTTTAAAAAGTTTGAATTGTTGGTCATCGTGACTTACCAATGGTAAGTTCGACAAATTACATTTTAAAAGAGGGAGCTACTTTTTTTCTCAATCATGGGTTCGTACCTACTGTTTACTTTGTTTACTATATAAATAAGTTTACCTCAGTTACACAACTATCATTGCTATCGATAATAATTTCATATCACCCCAGGGGAGTTTTGAAAGAAACGTTCTCGGTAAAAACAAATTGCATATTTGGAATCAGCATAATTGGTAACCCCCGTCCCCGTTGAGATCTCGAGAGGGTACCTCTGACCACAAGCAAAAATTTTTTGGACAAAATTCCATGCAAAATATTGAGCAGAACGAAAAAAAAAACGCTTCGCACGGGTATCGAACCCGACGTCGCGTTATATACGCTCTTAGCCGTTCACCTATATGCGAAGTGTTATTCATTCTTTTTTTCTTTTCTTTTGCTCTTATTTCATCTATCTCATCAAGTAAACGAATTTAATTACAAATTATATACATAATAAAACAGCAGAAAATTTTAATTTGCAATGGCCAAGGGAAAAGTAAGTTATGCAAGTTTATTTAGTAATTGAAGAAGTAGAATTATGATCTTCGAAAACTTTTAAACCGATTTTCAGAACGTGGCAAAGGTTTGTTAAGAATTCTTTTTTCTGGTGCCCAAATCATTGATTCTTCTAATTCTTTCTCATCTTCGATTTCATCTGTATTTTCGATCTCTTCTGTAGATAAATCATCTTCTTCTTCAGAATCAGCTTCATCATTTGAAGCTGTCTTACTGGCATGAAAGGAAATATGGTCTTCGGTATAAGAGTCAAAATCAGTTAAATCTTCTTGAACAAAATCGTAAACACCTGTATGAGCAAACATAGACATTGCTTCTCTCTCACAGAGATCCTGGAAATTCATTTCGAGCATACGATACAACTTCTGAAGCATTGTAAGAAGGGGATTTTTCGAAGGATTTGTGGATGAAAAATATAAATTTGAAAGAACATCATTATTTTTTTCAACTCCCTGCATATTATAATCTTCTAGATTATTAAATTCATCAAATTCAAATAAATGATTTCCAATAATGTGAATATAAGGCGTAACAGTAGTACGAAGACAACTTTGACGGTATTCCTTTACAAACTCGAGAGATAAACGTTTGAGAACCCCTCTTACTTTTACAGAAGTGTGCTTAACTTCGTTAAGAAGTTCTTTAAACTTGTTAACAACAGCTCGAGCCGACTTAGCCATGTCATCACTAAGGATATCGTTATAAGGAAAACTATCTACGAAGAAGAGATCTTGAAGATGACCAGACAATTTTCCATGAGAAGCAATGGTTTTATTTTTATCATCTAGGTCAATTTGGAAAAAAAAACGTTTGCCTACAGTTCTTTCACAATGTTGATTAAGAATTTTTATTTTTCTTTCAATTATGGTTGTATGTTCACCTCCATATTTACCAGTACGAGAAGCATGCAACAAGATATCCTTCAGAATGACATCAAATACTCGTAGCTTCATGTGCAGAGTATCAACACAATAGTCCTGATAATCAAATAAGTCTCCGAAAAGTGGTTCACACTTATATCCTAAATCATTAACCTTTTTTTCTAAACACACTCTCTGATCTTCAAGAGAACGTGCTAGTTTAGTAGGATCATGGTACGAAGTAGGACCAACATGAACAGTTGTTATTTTTTTATTCTTTCCCTTTCCTTCAGAAATACATTTATCATAAGCTGTTTCTTCGGTTACATAGAGATCATCCTTATGTTGAGTGCAAAATACACAGGGATGATTGGAGCTGAAACCGGCAAGACCAAAAACATACACTGCGTTCATCAGATCACCACCTAGTCGTACATGAATATTAACATGTTTAGCTCCTATAGAAATGTATTTTACAGATTTTATATCATCAATGAATTCAGTTGGCAAACTTTTACGCAATAATTCTGTGTTCTCTTTTTGAACTTCAAAAAGAGCTAAAGGAACAAGATTCTTTGCCATCTGACAATTATGACCACCTTCAATACAATTAATCGATATGGCTACTATGTGCTTATTTCCTATTAGGGTTCCATCCATATTAAAACGAATATTTAATATATCAAATTGCTCAAGCTTCTGTTCATATTTGCGAGCAACAAATATTGCTGTACGTACAGCATATTCAAATCTGACATAAGCACTTGTTTTAGTATATATAATTGGAAATTTTTTATTTGTTTCTTTTCTAAGTCGTTCAATTTCTTTCAAGGAATAAAGCTTTTTTTTACTTCGAACGTATTGAAAAATGGCATTTAGAGCTGAATCTGTCAGGTGGTAAGTATCTTTCAAATGTAGTAGATCCCTTTTATCTTTTTTTATTTTATTTTGTCGATGCATATTTTTATTTGGCTCGACTAAGATAGGATCTTCTTCATAGGAGCGTTTGACTCCACGTGTAATATATGTCGGACCAATAATAGCATCTATTTCTTCAATGCTATAACAAAAAGAATCATTTATGGGAGTTTGATCGAAATCTGTTTGAACTTCATGCACTTGCACAAATTTCAAGACAACGTTTAAGAAAAAAGGACTAAAAGTAAATGATGTATTATTAAACAGTACTTTTGTTTTAAGTGCTTCTTCGAGAATCGGAAGATCGAAATTTAGATTGTAAATTAAAGCACATTCCGTAACAAGACTAATAAGTTCATTAATATCTAATGTTCTTGATAACTGAAATGAAGATAATGCCTTTTTTATCAAAAATTCATTGAAAGTTATCTCCACTACGTTAGCAAAAGGGTAAAATTGGAGAATATCAATTTGTTCGTTTGCTTTATGAATTAATAGAATTGGACTTAAATAGTTATTATTTCTATATTGAGAGAATCCCATGATTGGTTCTACTTCAACTAAAGGATTAATAGACTTAAAAACTAGAGAAAAACTGTTAATTTTGCGGAGAATACCAATTATACTTTTGCCAGCAGCCTCTACACGTGCGGCTTGTACAATATGACTTATTTGAAGACTTATTTCATTTTTTAATGCTCGTATATTTACTGAACATTTGAGTTCAAGGAAAACATAAACACAAACATCAGAGACAATTTTCTCGAAATTCATCGGCTTATTATTCATTGAAAGAGAATGTTTAAAATAATCGAGCAAATATTCAAACGTAACATCAGCTGTCACTAAATTATCAGAGAATGATAAAGAAATATGCCGATTTTGAGAAAGAGATGATGAAAATTGACTTTGTGAGTCTTCGCTGATATTACTGTCATTTTCGGTAATATTTATTGGTGAGTTATCTTCATCAGATGATGAATTAGGTACAACAGTGTCACATAAAGATTCAACAATGTTCATGGGTAAGTAAATAGATAAGAATGTTGGTTTTATTCCTTTCTTTTTTGATAACCAGAGAGAAACAGCATTTTTACTAGCTTTAGAAATTGAACTAAAACGTGCTGTTTGACCTTTTTGTTTCAAGAGACCATTTACTTTATTTGAGATCTCCTCTATTACTCCAGATTCTTTCAAAATTTCAAGAGATGCGTACATAGACACATCTACATCGATTTTCAACGTTTTTTTCATTACTTAATTTTCACGTTGTAAAAAAAATAAAGCAAAGCTTTTTTTCTCACTTAATTATAT